ATTCCGCTGCTCCTCACAGTGTGGTATGGGGACTGAGAAACCCATGCAGGCTCTTGCAAGGTTAGAACTCTGTGTTTGAGAACCATTTTCATATAGGGTTGGTTTTTTCCTTTAGGTGGCCACTGTATTCTTTCCTTTTTTCAGCCTTTCTGTGAAATATACATAGCTAAGGATGTTTACCACACCTTAAAAAAGAATCCTGCTTCAAATCAATTGACATGATACATCACATCAATAAGAGAAAGGGTAAAAACCATATGATCATTTCGATAGATGCAGAAAAAAAGCATCTGACAAAGTACAACATCCATTCATGATAAAAACCCTCAACAAAGTAGGCCTAGAGGGAACATACCTCAACATAATAAATGCCATCTATGAAAAACCCACAGAGAACATCATCCTCAATGGTGAAAAACTGAGAGCTTTTCCCCTAAGGTCAGGAACAAGACAGGGATGTCCACTCTCACCACTTTTATTCAGCATAGTGCTGGAAGTCCTAGCCACCGCAATCAGACAACAAAAAGAAATAAAAGGCATCCCAGGTTGGTAAGGAAGAAGTAAAACTTCCACTATTTCCAGGTGACATGACACTATATATATAGAAAACCCAAAAGACTCCACCAAAAAACCATGAGAACTGATAAATGAATTCAGTAAAAGTCACAGGATACAAAATCAATGTACAGAAATCTGTTGCACTTCTATACACTAATAAAAAAGCAGCAGAAAGAGAAAATAAGAGAACAATCCCATTTACAATTGCACCAAAAACAATGAAATATTCAGGAATAAGCTTAATTAACCAAAGAGGTGAAAGATCTGTATTCCAAAACTATAAATTGTTGATGAAAGAAATTAAAGAAGACACAAAGAAATGTAACGACATTCCATGCTCATGGATCGGAAGAACAAATATTGTTAAAATGTCCATACTACCCAAAGCAATCTACACATTTAGTGCAATCCCTACCAAAATACCAACAGCATTTTTTTCACAGAACTAGAACAAACAATCCTAAAATTTGTATGGAACCACAAAAGAGCCCAAATAGAGACAGCAACCCTGAAAAAGCAAAAGTAAAACTGAAGGTATCAAAATTGCAGACATCAACTTATATTACAAAGCTGTCATCATCAAGACAGTCTGTTACTGGCACAAACACAGACACACAGATAACAGAACAGAATGGAAAACCCAGAAATGAATTCACTGTTACGTGGTAGTTAATCTTCATTGAAGCAGGAAAGAGTACCTAGTGGTGAAAAAGACTGTCTCTTCAACAAATGGTGTTGGCTAAACCGGACAGCCACATGCAAAAGAATGAAACTGGAGGGATGCCTGGGTGGCTCAGTCAGTTAAGCGTCTGCCTTCACCTCAGGTCCTGATCTCAGGCCCTGCTCAGCGGGGAGTCTGCTTCTCCCTGTCCCTCTGCCCCTCCCCCTGCTCATGCTCACTCTCTCTGTCTCTCAAATAAATAAATAAAATCTTTAAAAAAAAAAAAAAAAGAATGAAACTGGACCACTTTCTTTCACCATACACAAAAATAAACTCAAAATGGATTAAAGACCGAAATGTGAGACCTGAAACCATAAAAATCCTAAAAGAGAGCACAGGCAGTAATTTCTCTGACATTGGCCATAGCAACATATTTCTAGATCTGTCTCCTGAGGCAAGCGAAATAAAAGCAAAAATAAAGTATTGGGACTATAAAAACTCTTTTATCAAAATAAAAAGCTTTTGCACAGCCAAGGAAACAATCAACAAAACTAAAAGGTAGCCTACCAAATGGGTGAAGATATTCGCAAATGACATATCCGATAAAGGGTTGGTATCCAAAATATATAAAGAACTGATACAACTCAACATCCCCAAAACAAATAATCCAATTAAAAAATGGGCAGAAGACCTGAACAGCCATTTCTCCAAAGAAGACATCCAGATGGCCAACAGACATATGAAAAGATGCTCAGCATCACTCATTATTAGGGAAATGCAAATCAAAACTACAATGACATATCATCTCACACCTGTCAGAATGGCTAAAATCAACAATATAAGAAACAAGTGTTGGTGAGGATGTGGGGAAAAAGGAGCTCTCGTGCACTGTTGGTGGGAGTGCAAACTGGTGTAGCCACTGTGGAAAACAGTATGGAGGTTCCTCAAAAAGTTAAAAATAGAACTACCTTACCATCCAGTAATCACATTAGTTGATAGTCACCCAAAGAATACAAAAACACTAATTCAAAGGGATACATGCACCCCAGTGTTTATTGCAGCATTATTTACAATAGCCAAATTATGGAAGCAGCCCAACTGTCTGCTGATAGATGAATGGATAAAGAAGAGGTGGGATACACACAATGGAATATTACTCAGCCATAACAAGGCATGAAATCTTGCCATTTGCAATGACATGAATGGAGCTAGAGTATAATGCTAAGTGAAATAAGTCAAAGAAAGATAAATATCATACGATTTCACTCATATGTGGAATTTAAGAAACAAAACAAATGAGCAAAGGAAAAAAGAGAGAGAGACAAACCAAGAAACAGACTCTTAACTAAGAGAACAAACTGGTGGTTATCAGAGAGGAGGTGGGTGGGGGGATGGGTAAAATAGGTGATGGGGATTAAGGAGTGCACCTGTTGTGATGAGCACCTGGTGTTACATGAAAGTGTTGAATCACTATATTGTACACCTGAAACTAACATAACACTGTGTGACTAATACAGGAATTAAAATAAAACTTAATTAAAAAAAAAAAAAGAACCCTGCTTTAGGAAACCTGGTAGGAAGAGACTGAGTCAATTATGCCAAACAATATAAATAAATTAACATAATTCTGTCATGTTGCTACCTGGGAATGACTCAATTTACTTGATCATCTAAAAAATAAATGTTTTAGAAAAACAATACCATTAATAGTAATATTGTTGCAGAAACACAATTAGAGATTTTCTTAGATATTATATTTGCTGAACTTGTTTTATAATCTCCCAAAGTAAGGCTAGGATTGATTTCACAAGGACTTTTTACTCTTGGATGTTGGTCTCATATTGCCGATTGCCCTCTTTAAGGCTTGCTCCACCTTCCTCACTTGAACTGAGGTAAAGCCCTTCAAACTAGCACCACTTCTCCTATTTTTCCTTCTTCTTTCTCAAAATGATCTTCCACAGACTCCAGTTTGATCACTAAACCCCATGATCAAAACGTTTATAGGTTTCTGGCCTTGTACAGAGTATATTGAGGGTGTTGGATTTTAGGACAAAAAAGGACCTCAGAGATGATTTAAGTTGTAGTGCAGTGCTTCTCCAAGTTGAACAGGCTTCAGAATGACCCCTCAAGGGCTTGTTAAAATATTAGATTCCTGGGTCCCACCCAGAGAGGTTCAGATCCAGTAGGTCTGAGGCAGGACCCAAGAATGTGACGGTTCAAGGTGCTGGTCCGTGGACCACACTTGGAGATTTGCTTATATCTACTTTGCCTTATGCACTCAGCTTCCTCTTAAATTTTCATTTTAACAAAGGATTTAATAACTGACACTCAACCATCTAGTCTAACTCTCTTGGTTTACAACATAAGAAGATAGGCCTGAAGAGCCAGGTCACCTGGCCAGTGGGCCTATGCTCTGTCCTGATACCATCTTTCTTCAAACTTCTAATCTAGCTTTGAAGCCTCCAACTACATTCCTACCTTTATCTCTGCTTCCCTGCAAAATAACCAACCTCTCAGTTCTGGGTCAGTTGGGTACATGCCCTTTCCCAAATATCTAGTGTAATTATAATCCCAGCACTTTGAACCGAACTCATTAACTTTTTGGACCTTAAGCTCTCGTCTACTTCAGAACTCACATGGATGGCATACCTTTGACCTCAAATCATCCAGAACTGTCCCACCTCCAAGATCCTAGACTCTAAAAAATATACTGTTTTGACCACAGCCCCCTAGGCTTTCTAACCCCTAGACCGCCAACCCTTCTGGCATCCTCCCAGGCAACTGGGGTAATGTTTCCTTGACCTGTACTCACCACCCTACCCGGCCTGGGCAATGCTCCAGCAGCATCTTCCCCATGCCTTCAGTGTGCCTTTCCTGACTTTCTGTCATGTCTGTCTCGCCAATCCCCACCACCAAATTAATCAAAAAATTGCTTTTCTATTCCCAGTCCTTTAACATTGCTGGCTATGGTCACAGTCCCATGCTGACTAGACTTACTAATACTCTCAGCTAGAACTTCCTACCTCAAGCAGCTTGTATGTTCATCTCTAATTGACTCTTTCTCAAGTTTCCAAAGAGATTCTTCAAAATTCCTGTCATCTTGAACCCCCCTGACACCCCGCCACCAAAATCTCCCCCATTGCCTCCCATTCCCAGAAGTGTCATCATCTCCAAGGGAAAAGATAAGAACTGAGCACAAGTCTGGGGCTGGACTTAGGGGGATTAGCGCCTCTCTCTCATGGGCCTTGAGAAGCTATTCCAAATTTTGCTTTAGAAAAATCACTGTGATGGCTGTGAGCAGGATACACTAGAACAGGGACATGGGCAGATAAACAAGAGGGATTCAATGAATACACAAAGGGGATGAGGGAGAATAAAGAATCAAGAATTGCTATATATTATACTTCGTGTATAGTAGATACACAATAGACATGTGTTCAACTAATTTATTCTGGCTCTGATTCTGAGAAAAATGTATATAGAAAAATATTTACTAAAGTTAAAAAAAAGTGCATCATTGAGAGCAAGAATCCTTTTGCTATGTCTTGTCATAAGGCAAATGAAACTGATTATGCAATGGACAGATGGTGCAACAAGATATAAAATGAAATTAGCAATGATGAAACCCAGATGGAAATGAGGAAAAGGTCAATATGTTAAAGGTCAAAGGAATTTGGCTCCATCTTGTCTTGTTTCATAAAGAACGAAGGTCAGAGCGTAGTGGCTCTTACTGCAGGCAAGTTGTCAGACTATTCACTATGCTGCAGAACCAAATACTCACCCAGGGTTGTTCAAAGCTATAGGTACGTCGCCGATCTTCTACATCTTCATCCTGCTTCGCTTGCTGAAATTCTTGCCGTAGACGCTGTATCCGATCATGGTTGCTAGGAGTTGATCTGTTGCTGAAAGAGAGAAGGGGCAACAATGAACACCCTTTGGAGATACAATCTGTGAATTGCAGTTGCTAGGGAAAGAAAACGGCAGCTTGCTGTGGAATGACACTGTTTAAGAGGCAGTGAGTTTATAAAACAATATCTGGGCATTTAAAATGCTTTCATTTTGTTCTTATGATTAAGAGTTATTGAAGTTATTTCAGATATTCAAGAAGGCAAGCAGTATTTTTAGACAATCCTGTTTTATACAGTACTTTAAAAGCCTCATTTCCTTTCTGTAATCTGGTGAGGTGTTGGCAGCAAAATTTTTTTGGAAAGGACGTTGCATTAAAAGTCAGAAATATCAGGGTCCTGTCCTTGCTCCTCTACCTTCTTAGACTAAGGCACTTAATACCTCTGAGTTGTGGGGGTTTTTACATATATGCAGTGGACATGATAATCATTTTTGCCCTAAATATCATAGTTGCAACAATCAAGTAAGTAATACCATACAATATAGCCTCACAAACATGCAGTATTATTTTCATAAGCCATCATATAAAGTTCCTATTTAGGAGTTATTAGAGGTCCATACACAAAGTACAGTTCTCACAGCATAAATGACAAGCATTTTAAAAATAACTTTGGGTGGTAGTTTGATTTCACCAGTTAGCTGATAATAATGTTGCCTTCTTTTTTTTTATAGCATTAAATTTTAATTCTCAAAATGCTTTTTAAGATAGGTACAGATGGGGGCGCCTGGGTGGCTCAGTTGGTTAAGCGACTGCCTTCGGCTCAGGTCATGATCCTGGAGTCCCGGGATCGAGTCCCGCATCGGGCTCCCTGCTCGGCAGGGAGTCTGCTTCTCCCTCTGACCCTCCTCCCTCTCATGCTCTCTGTCTCTCATTCTCTCTGTCTCAAATAAATAAATAAAATCTTAAAAAAAAAAAAAAAGATAGGTACAGATGGTAGTCTCTCTCTCTCTCTCTCTCTCTCTCTCTCTCTCACACACACACACACACACACACACACACGTAGAAACTGACGTTCGAAGAAGATAAGTGACTTGTCTGCAGTCTCCCAGCTGGTCAATGGGGAGGTGAGGCTGGAGTCCAGATTCTTCTGGTATCCAGTCCAGCCCTGATTTCACTGTGCCATGTTGTGTCAATTAGTAAAACATATATCAGACTCCAAAGCCCCTGCTTTATAAAATCATACAGATTTTAAAAGCAGTATTTTGCAAGAATTGAAGAGATGGCCAAAGTTAAAACAATCTTAAATCTCATGGCACTTTTGGTCTGTGTCATCCCCTGAGGACGAAGGCACGTCCTATCAGGAGAGCTATTCAAGCACATGAGGTACATGCTATCTCCCCAACAAAACATCAGACTCCTTGAGGACAAGAATTGAGCCTTATATTTATATCATCTATACCCTCCAAGCTGCTTGCAGAAAGGGGAGCTGTAAGCTACTAGAAGACTGGGTCTCTTCATTGAAAACATGTTACCCTGGTTACTCAGTGTGATTCTGAGTTCTTCTGGCTGCATACCCCCCTGCCCCGGGTCATGTAATTTGTCAGAGGTAGCTTGGAAAGAGAAAGTCTGCATCGTAGAGTATACAAATTCTCTAATATATATCTTCATATAATTCCATGTGTTTTGAAGAATTCCAAAGGTTTACAAATCTCAAATTGAAAATATTTGCATATAGGGCAATATTAACGTCTTCCAAGAATATGGAATAGTCTTTCATCATTTAATCTACTGGATAGATCCCTATCACCTTTATGTTGCTATTAATTTCATTAGAGCTTCTGGAACATTCTGTCAATACTCTAAGTTTGATTATTTTCCCAGTCAATAAAAGCCTGTCTTCCCTTTTTCCTTCTGACAAATATTTTGAATGGATCGCCCTGAGAACATTAAAGGTTAATGGGTATGTAAAATGTGCTACTTGACAAGGCTTCAGCCCACATTTGGATATGGCTTAAAACTTCCCCTCCATACTCTTGAGCTGAGAAGGTTGTTATTCCCACTGTTTGTTTGTTTTTTTTTTAATTTTTTTATTAACATATAATGTATTATTTGTTTCAGGGGTACAGGTCTGTGATTCATCAGTCTTACACAATTTACAGCGCTCACCATAGTACATATCCTCCCCAATGTCCATCACCCAGCCACCTGATCCCTCCCACCCCCCTCCACTCCAGCAACCCTGTTTGTTTCCTGAGATTAAGAGTCTCTTATGGTTTGTCTCCCTCTCTAGTTTCATCTTGTTTCATTTTTCCCTCCCTTCCCCTATGATCCTCTGTCTTGTTTCTCAAATTCCTCATATCAGTGAGATCATATGATAATTGTCTTTCTCTGATTGACTTTATTTCACTTAGCATAATACCCTCTAGTTCCGTCATGTCATTGCAAATGGCAGATTTCATTTTTTGATGGCTGCATAATATTCCATTGTATATATATATCACATCTTCTTTATCCATTCATCTGTTGATGGACATCTAGGCTCTTTCCATAGTTTGGCTATTGTAGACATTCCTGCTATAAACATTGGGGTGCATGTGCCCCTCGAATCATTAGATTTGTATCTTTGGGGTAAATACCCAGTAGTGCAATTGCTGGGTCGTAGGGTAGCTCTATTTTCAACTTTTTGAGGAACCTCCATACTGTTTTCCAGAGTGGCTGCACCAGCTTGCATTACCACCAACAGTGTAGGAGGGTTCCCCTTTCTCTACATCCTTGCCAACATCTGTCGTTTCCTGACTTAATTTTAGCCATTCTGACTGGTGTGAGGTGGTATCTCATTGAGGTTTTGATTTGGATTTCCCTGATGCCAAGTGATGTTGAGCACTTTTTCATGTGTCTGTTGGCCATTTGGATGTCTTCTTTGCAGAAATGTCTGTTCATGTCTTCTGCCCATTTCTTGATTGGATTATTTGTTCTTTGGGTGTTGAGTTTGAGAAGTTCTTTTTTTTTTAAGATTTATTTATTTATTTGACAGAGAGAGAGACACAGCGAGAGAGGGAACACAAGCAGGGGGAGTGGGAGAGGGAGAAGCAGGCTTCCCGCTGAGCAGAGCCCAATGCAGGGCTCGATCCCAGGACCCCAGGACCATGACCTGAGCCACCCAGGTGCCCTGAGTTTGATAAGTTCTTTATAGATTTTGGATACTAGCCCTTTATCTGATATGTCATTTGCAAATATCTTCTCCCATTCTGTCAGTTGTCTTTTGGTTTGATTGACTGTTTCCTTTGCTGTGCAAAAGCTTTCTATCTTGATGAAGTCCCAATAGTTCATTTTTGCCCTTGCTTCCCTTGCCGTTAGTGATGTTTCTAGGAAGAAGTTACTGCAGCTGAGGTTGAGGAGGTTGTTGCCTGTGTTCTCCTCAAGGATTTTGATTGACTCCTGTCTCACATTTAGGTCTTTCATCCATTTTGAGTCTCTTTTTATGTGTGGTGTAAGGAAATGTCCAGTCTCATTCTTCTGCATGTGGCTGCCCAAATTTCCCAACACCATTTGTTTAAGAGACTGTTTTTTTTCCATTGGACATTCTTTCCTGCTTTGTCGAAGATTAGTTGACCATAGAGTTGAGGGTCCATTTCTAGGCTCTCTATTTTGTTCCATTGATCTATGTGTCTGTTTTTGTGCCAGTACCATACTGTCTTGATGATTACAGCTTTGTAATAGAGCTTGAAGTCCGGAATTGTGATGCCACCAGCTTTGCTTTTCTTTTTCAACATTCGTCTGGCTATTTGCGGTCTTTTCTGGCTCCATACAAATTTTAGGATTATTTGTTCCATTTCTTTGAAAAAAGTGAATGGTATTTTGATAGGGATTGCATTAAATGTGCAGATTGCTCTAGGTAGGATAGACATTTTCACAATATTTGTTCTTCCAATCCATGAGCATGGAACGTTTTCCCATTTCTTTGTGTCTTCCTCAATTTCTTTCATGAGTTTTCTATAGTTTTCTGAGTACAGATTCTTTGCTTCTTTGGTTAGATTTATTCCTACGTACCTTATGGTTTTGGGTGCAATTGTAAATGGGATCAACTCCTTAATTTCTCTTTCTTGTGTCTTGTTGTTGGTGTATAGAAATGCAACTGATTTTTGTGCATTGATTTTATATCCTGCCACTTTACTGAATTCCTGTATAAGTTCTACTCCCACTGTTTTTTAAGAAACATATACAGCATCTTTTATTTTTGAACACATACGTTTTCAATAATGGCTTCCCAACATAATACCCAACCCCCCTGGAACTCGTGCTCTCCATGTGAAGCTGTGATAATGTAGGCATGAAGATAGTTCCTGAGATAGGAAGTGAGCATTCATTAATCTCACTGCTGTTTCTCCAACTGTGACTTTTTTGTTCCTGGGATACTTCTTCATGGCTTTTAATAGGAGGATTGTAGGAGGCTTGACTGACAAAGTATTTTACAGGTCTAACTAGAAATATTTCCCTATTATTTTCATGTAGCATAGACAGTTTTAACCCTGTAATTATTAGGTTCATGAAGTCCAAGCCATTGATGAAAATTGATCTCGTACTATTTGTGGTTAACTGAAAGTGCAACTCTCCCAACACAGGAAGTCGACCCAGTGTCCTTAATTTTAAATTCTGGTGACCTCAATGTTTTTCACAGTAACAGCCAAGTTCTGGAAGTCACTTCTGTCCTTATTTCAAATCTCAGCCGCTGGTGAGATACTGCTTCACTCTCTTTTCCTTTGCTTCCTTTCTTCCTCTGCTCTAGAGAATGGCAACCCACTTGCCTAAGACTAGCAAAGCTACTCTAAGGATTGAAATTGAAAAACGGGCTGCAATGGTTTTCATGATTGATGATGACTTCCAAAGACTGGAAGACCATCAAGCATCCTTGGGGACAACAGTTGGCAGTCTGAAGGTGAAATCCTGGCTTCAAGAATGAAACCCTTGCAACTGCTCATTCTGTTTCTCAGGCCAGTCTATAATGGGCCAATGATTGACATTTGGACTTCTAAAGTTCTTGGTTAGCTCTTCTGC